CAAGCCGCTTATCTATAACATCTTTTTTCAAATTAGTCATGTGCTCGAGAAGGAAAATAATTTACACCTTTTACCTCTTCGACGGCAAAACTGAAAGAAATGAAGTATTCAAGTGAAAGCACTGAAAGTTTAACGTCGCGATTGATGGTAAGTACCTTGAAATGTTTTAGAAATGCTGTTCAAGTTCAGCTTTGTTTTGTACTTTTCTAAGTAGCACAATTCAGGACGATTGCAAGCGGAGTACTCTTTTTCGTGTTTTCAGGGGTCATGTTGTCTTTGAAGGTACTTATTTCTTCTTCTGTATATGTGACAATTGATCCCAGCACTTCCTCCCTTGTCGCTTCTCCGTTTTGTTTGTTTGATCTTTGGCTTGCCAATTTCTGGGCCGTGTTCACAGGATTTTCTTGTTTTGTCGTTGTTGCAAGCGAAAGAGGTTTTTTTATATTGGGACGCCCTTTCAACAGGTTAATAATACGTTGTAGCCATTTTAAGTGCATGTGACAGCCTTCGCTTACTGTCAGTAAATACAGAGATCGTGCTGGATTTTAATGGCCACTTAAGAGCGACTCTCTATAGGGACCGAGTGAGATTGAAAAAATGTGGCACAAGGTTGGAAAAATGGACCCCTTGATATTTCGTCTAGAGATAACCTACGGTATGCTAAGAATCGTGATATAAGTCTTAGGTTCTAGAGTTTTTACATTTTTGAGAAAATTACGAAAAAACGTCGACAATCCGTGACGCCGAAAAATCACAGAAATGAGGTCAAATTTCATGATCAGATAATCTAATTCGCGTGAAGGCGCATAGCAAATTATGGCTTTCCGTAGTTTATAATTTTATTTAGGAGGTATTGCTGAGCTGCTTTGATGATATTTTAGACTTACAATTGTAATTCCGAATTCCTGGAGAGCAAGTGAAGAGAGCCGAAATTTCTAGACTTTGAAAATCAAAAATTCCATACCGTTTTCAAACATCTCAAAACATACTCGGTATTATGTAGAATTCTTTCAAAATTCAATTCTAGCAAGTAGAAGAGCTGTTTTTGAATGTGATATAATTTTTTCTTGGCAAAAGTTATTTCTGAGGCGAGCGGCCCCGTGTAAGGTGACCCAATGTGACCTTTCGAAGAGATTTTGTTTAACCAGGAAATGTAAACAATTCGACTAGCCTTAGCTCGCTTTCTGAGCAAACCATTGAAAAACCCTGCCATTTCCCATTAAAACTACCCAGTAAACCTGAGATAATACTTCGATGACAGCTTACCTTCCAAATGGGTGTTTGAAGGCAAATAATTTTGACGTTCTCAATTAATTTTTCCATTGCTTTCTTGTTGCCGCGCTTTATAATTTAGGGTCATATCTTGACATCGAGCTTGTACGCCAGTTCCAGTCCAAGCTTGTGCAACACTTTTCCGGAAAACCAATCCATATGTTGCAATATCGACCTCTCAGTGAGCAACCTCTTGATATTCATTTAGTTTCTTGTATAATAAAAAAATTGCTAAGCGCAAGACGTAAATCTCGGTCTAGTGAGTGTAACGCAATCCTTCCTTCGTCACTTCCGGACCAGGTGATTAATTTTTTTCTGACGGGGGAGGGGGAAAGAAGTTTTCAAACAATTTCTTTTTCTTGTTGGTGTTGCACGCAATGCATTTAACGGTTCATTACATGGCCACTGCAACAATTTAATTAAGATTTTCCATCATGATATAAATATACACAAGACTTTTTCATGTCCTTTGTTCCATGTATTTAATACAGTAATTCACTCAATTGCTTTCGCTCAAAATACGTTTTTCCCTTCAAGTTAAAAAGGGACAATTTCCCGTTTTTCTCCTTTGCGCACTCAGCAATTGCTCAGCTCGGTGGGTAGTGGAAAATAGCTAAGAGTTGGTAACCACACCCTATTAACTCGCCCTAGTCCCCTACCCCACCCTTGTGCTAACTTTGAATTTAAAGTGAGTGAAAACAAAATGTATTTGGGGTAAAGGACGGTCCATTCCATTTTTTTTATTAAAGGCGGGGGGGGGGGGTACTGGAAGATTTTGAAAACAAAATTGCGCGGGCGCAAGCCGGAAAACAAATTTCCTGCAGAGCACAAACTTATATAAATCCCCTGCAGCAACTTAGTGACGTGGATTCTAAGAAGAAAGTTTATATGACAGTGCTCCCACGATTGACGTACGCTTAGGTTAGGGCTTGGTGTGGTATTTCGGGTACTGAATACTGAAGATGGGGTACTGATACTAAAGAACGTATCCCTATGATTACCCTCCTCCCACCCCCCTACCCCACCCTTGTGCTAACTTTGGGCTTTACTTATCCGCTTTGCAGCGACATGTTTGACAGTACTCCTCAATTTTGTCTGCATAGGGTTGTTTACGTTTGATGGATACATCAACAGCAATGTCAAGCCCGGCGCAAATGTCTCTGAGTTTTGCAACCGATAACTTGGTCGTGCTAAGTTTCCCTCCAGAGGTCATTTCGCATAGGTTATATTTATCCCACATGATGGGGTGTCCTGGAAAAAGTTCCGGAGAAACCTTATTCGTCAATTCTTCGATGGTTGCCTCCTGGGTGGCACATTCAATCTCCTCTTCAAGATCATCATCGTTAAAGGGAGACTTCTTTGCCGCAAGTCTGGAGAAGAATCCAGTGACCTGAGATGCAGTCAGAAACTCTTCACTACTGAACATCCGTTTCCCTTGTGAGTCCACGGCAGACATCATAGAGCGCGCAACTGATGCCGGATCACTTTTTCGTCCTGACCGCTCACCTTGTTGAAATTTCTCAGTCAGGTAGTTCTTTTGCTTGTACGTAAATCTACATCTACGGGAAGCACTTGACTTGAGCGCCCAACCCTTTGGTAACATGTCGTGAGAAGATGGCGGTTCTGCAACTGCGTCCAACTCGGGGACAGCTTCGCATTGCCCCTCAAGCCTTTGAGCATATCCAACAGCAGTTCTATCCAGTAGAGTATATCGCTGAAGAGCACGTTGGTGTTTTTTCCACAGTCTAAATGCCGCTGCATTGATGAATATCTCACAGATGTTTTGACACAACCCTCCTCAGGACAACTGAAGATCGCCGCGTTACTGTCTTCCTCTTCGATATTCACTGGTGGATCTGGATCTCGAACTGATGCTTTTATGCGCCTCTCCTTGACAAATGTAAATGCGCCTGAGTAAGAGCGAGTAACTCCGGTAAGGGTCGGTAGGTCAGATGGGGATGGGCAATGCAATTTGTCTGTAGGGATGAGTTTACCATTGCCGATACCATACGCCCTCCAAACTAGTAGCCCCTCTTCCTTGTACTCGACATTACTGAGCTGACTAATACCCTCTATCTTTGAAGATAGCACGTTCAGGACTTGGACACTCTCACACAATGCTACGTTAACACTAGGAACTCCACCAGAAGAGAGTATCGCGTCCCTCATCTGCTCAGGCGTCTCGATATCATTTCCAGCATTAAGATAAATGCTCACATGGGACTTAATAGTCGCAGCCTTCCGATCACATGCCACCTTGCTCCCTTGTGGATCAGAAAAATCTAGACGCCTGATCTTGACACCTTCTTCATGGCCAAGGGCTGCTGCACAGACGAGAGTGGTTCCAAGGTGGTAGCAGCCGGCATTATCCTGCCGATAACAGACGGTCTTGAGCCCGGGCATGGCGATCTTGAGTTGCCGAATAACATCGGCCATAACCGCAAGGACTGCATAGCTGTCTTGAGTACAGGACTTGAAAATGTGTGCGAACATTAGCATCTGCAACTCCCCTCCTTCTCATCTTGTGGCAACTGTCAAATGCCATGGGATCCCGCATTTACCGAACCAGTCGGGCTGACTTTCTCTATACTTCCGAGGAAGATATTTCATTGCCCAATCTTGAACAATTAAAACAGACGACTCGTCAATCGCTTCCAAAAGTTGTACTCTGGCGCCATCCTGATTGACAGAACGGAGGAGATGAGACTTCCACGCCAATATAGCGGTCTTTGCATTCTTGACTCGGAAAACAAGTTCTTCCTTCGTGTTGGATGTCATGTTTTGACTTTTCGCAACCAAACCTTCCTCGATATCATTTAGAGTTGACACCAATGTAGTGCAGCGCTCACGCACGTCACTGTGATCATGATCACATGTGGCCTGGAACGAAGGCTCCTTCGGGTCGCTTAAAGCGTATGACCTGCAGTGATCAGCTACTGTAGAACTCTGGGAAACGTGGACCTGCAATAAACGTTTGAAAATAGTTATAATTAAGAAGCGCTGCTTTAAAGAGAACTAAGTAGAAAGATAGAGAAAATTTCACATGACTGTCAGACTTGCGTTCACTTCATTTTCCTATTGATTGAGGGGCTTGGTCTGTTGTCAGTGAGCCAATCAAATGGCGAACTAAACCCAAACGCACGTTTAATCATGTCACTACTAAATGCAAGTCAGACATACTTCGCCTCGTGATTGATTTGTTGTTTAATGGGTTCCTCTCCTGGTTGGCTGCGTTTAGTTGCGGTTTGTTCTACAACAGTCAAGTGAAATCCGCTCTAACATATTGTTATCATATGTTTTGTATGGACCGACTGGGGTGCCCATTGAGTTAGTTCTTTGTAGTAATCAGCCTTTGAGTGCCGGACAGTAGAACCATGAAACTGACAAATATGTAGCGGTAAATAGCGCCAACTGAACAAAATACCACAATAGAAGTGATGCTATTTAATGGTATTTCGATTAAACTGCTAGCAAGTGGGAGAGGGTGTTTTTTTAAAGCGAAAAACCCGGAGTGTGTGATCGCAGACGCTATATTGGACGCACAAGACAAAGATCTGGGGCGAGTGACATAGCGAGGTGGAGGGATCTGCCTAGCGGGGGTCACACCCACCTTAAAGTCGCTTTTAAGGTACCGCTTGCTTGCGCGTAGATTATTTTCCTGCTGTTTCGCCCACCCCATGCCTTGTCCTACATCTCCAAGGGTTTCAACAACATCACACAGATCGTCAAATGCTTCCGCACCTGCAGAACTAACATAATCGAGACCTTGAACCGATGTCCTAGCAGACGCAGCGCACGTGCTCAAAATCCGCAGAAGAGTAGCGCGGCTTAGTGGCGTGAACCCAGACTCTTGGCAGTAAGTCATATACTGGATGACTATTCGCTCTGGGATAATCATCCGTATGACGTTTGGAACCTTGATAGTCTCCTTCGTCGATAACATGATTGTTCTTTCGCCAAAAGGCAAATCTTGGATAATATGGGGACTAGTGATGAACGCTATGAAGTGGTCGATTTGAGTGGTGGATACTCTCATCCTTGGCGTCGGAACTGTTAACACCGGTGCCCCCCTTCCATATACTAAGCAGTGGCGTCTGGCCTCAGTGAAACGATACTGAGATAAATCGGGTGTCCAGTGTCGCAGCTGATTCAGTGTCAACTTATCAGCCATAATGGACAGGACTTGCCGACGCGTCTCCCAGCTGTCGGCTGCGCGGTAGCACTCGGCGAGTGCGCTCATCATGGTTTCGTCGACTGAACTGCTTGTGGCTTCCTCTCCATTACATTGTAAGGTTCTTTGTATGACACCAGAGGAATAGACTGCCTTGAAGAGAGAACCACTATCACTTGGAGCTATGTCTTGTAAACGTGTAGATAGACCTTGACCTGCCTTCCGCACGTAGTAGCGTCGTGTTCTTTTACTTGCTTCTTCCCAAGGCCGCTGTAGCCGAGAACGAATGGGACTGATTCCTCGAGTGCGCAAATAATCATTGAGTGGGTCAGTGGTCTTGGACTTTGGTTCGGGCTTTGTTGTAGCTGGTGTGCTGTCAAAGGAGATCTCCTCAGAGGAGGACGAGTCGTCGCTAGGTGGTAAATAGAAGCTTTCTCCTGGAGTAGCTGGGGTTCCGTGTTCAGGACGAGTACGAGTCGTCTCCTCAGCCTAGAACAGCAACGTCAACTGTTATATTGCGCACGGTTCATGAGACTTTTCCATGTTGATACCGTAAATCCTCTATTAAGCTCCCCCTCCCTCTCTAATAAGCTCCCCCTTTTCAGAGGAGGAAAGTTAATAAGCCCCCCTCTCTATTAAGTATCCCCCTCCCCCTCCCCCAATCCTTATTCTTCCCAAAAAAATTAACGATTAACGTGGACTGATCAATAATGGTTTATTCATAAAAATTACCAAAGAACATGAGGCCGAAAGCACAGTTTTGAAGAATAAGAATTTTGTTTGTTACTTTTAGGCTCCCACAAGTGAATTAAATACTTTTCACAGTGACTTTAATTGTACAACGCGTAAGTCTACCCTGTCTCATACCACGGTATTTTTGCTACAGGTGATGCGCTTCGCTGAATTAAATAAGCCCCCCCCTCTCTTTTAAATCCCCCCTCTCTATTAAGCCCCCCTCAAAAGTGCGTGAAAAAAATAAGCCCCCGGGGGGCTTAATAGAGGATTTACGGTATATAGGAAACAAGGCGCGGCATAAATGATTGAAAATCTTTAGAAACAACCATAACAATAGCTTCGCTAAGTATAATTAGGGGGTCTGATTAAAAAAGGGCGATGGAGAATCAGAGTTTTATGGTAACTCAATGAAATTCAGACTTTGATCCTGTGTATAGTTACATATAAAATCAGTGGTATGTGCGAAACTCCCAAAACAGCTAGAACTTACCAAAGTAAGCTCATGAATACTCTCTGAAAGGGCAATAAGTTGTGGGTCTTGGCAATCGGCTCTGACCTGTTCTCCAAGAGTTATCCTACATTCACTACACATTCCTTAAAAAAGATAAAACAATAATAAATATTGAATAATGATTCAATTTTAGTGTTCAGCATTGCTCTTTCGAATGTGACTTGGCTTTTATGAAATGTAATGTAGCACTGCAGTCTATAGATTTTATTCGAATGGATACTTACCAGAGCCGACTGGAAGAAATATCCCAGAAACACGCAAGATTAATCTGGAGATGTCTTTACTGATTCCACGATCCGTAGTACGGGATTTGCGGACGTGCTTCGACAGCTGGGCTGGTATACGGCAACGCGCCAAACCCCTTCGCCACCCAATGCCCAGCGAAGAACGATGAGCGGGACAAATATCCATGTCAGAAATATTGGAAGGGAAACTGAAAATTGAAGACCTTGCTAGAATCAGTTCTACTTTAGTGTCTACGCCGCTGCCGGTCATCAGCCCTAGAGAGCTTTTGTGGCGCGATATGTCTTTGTTACAAGTTAGCAAGGGAACTAAATCTTGGACTTTAGTGCTTCGAGGGTCTTGACTGCATTGGCCACCAACTAGCCGCTGAAACGAGCAATTTCTCTCCATCTTCCAATCTTTCAACCGATGACGCAGAGCAAATGACTCAATTTCGGCAGAAGTAAACACATGCGTGCTAATTACTCGGGATGCCGAATTGTAAATAATGTTTGATTTCAAAATGTTTTTTTTTTCCCTTTTGGACAAAGTGAGCGCTCAAGGTTACACAATACACTTCAAAAGGCCTAAACTCATTTTCCTGTGCATACTCTTTAGTATCTTTGTAAAGTTGTAAAGATTTTAATCCGCGTAATAAGATTTGCCGAATTTAACAAAAAGTTAGGAGCCTCGCACGTGCTAGCTTCGCTTATCGGGCGAGCGATCGAAAAGTTCGATTTTAAAAGATCACAGCTCGAACGCCGTGAGAATTCTATATTTCGAACTTTTTTAGAGGTAAACAAACCGTTTGCCACAGATCTACTTGCGTTTGGTAATTATCTGTTTTAAACTTAGATCTCTCTCGATGGAACCTCTCAAAACAGTGTTACGTGCTCTTTTCTCGTACGAAAAGAAACATGTCTTGTGCGAACCCAAAAGCAAATCATTTTCAGTTTTCAAAGGGATAATTTTCGAGAATCATATAAAAGCGTGCGTCTACTTCTGCGTCAAAAGGTATCTTGTTGAACATAATTCCTAAGAAGCTAGATGCGCCATGAAGGGAACCTATTTGTGTGTTCACCTGCCATGGGCAAATTGGTAAATGCAATTAATATAAATTACAAAAACTCGCTTTGCGGCCAATAACTAGCCCTTTTTTAGATATATATTACTATTTCCTTTTATCTAGCTTTACGAAATCATTAGCAATGGAACTGCCCAGGCATTTGACTTTTGGAGCTAAAACTAGATAGGATTCCTAGTTTGTTGCACAGTCACTAAAAAATGGGAAAAGTAAATGTGATGCGTGTATAAACACCGATTCAAAGTAATGCTACAAAGAACTCTCTTTCGAAATAGGCTTGTGATTACAAATAAAAAAGTTACAAAAAACCAAAACGAAAACATTGTATGCTAGTAAGGAAGAAAATGAAGAAATGAGCAAGAGCAAGACAAAAATATCCACGCGGATGTATTTGCGGCACGTGATCACCTAGATGTAAATATTGCGTGACATCGATCTGGGTCTATTTTTCAGTTCAATTAGTTCCTTCACTTCTTGCCTCTTTTCATTAGAAATATTCAATACAAAACACAATAGATACCCAGAGGATGCTTATATGCAAGACATGGATGCAGGTCCAGCAAAAATATTGCACAAGTCAGAGAAAGATGACACTTAGACAATGCCGTGGCCGCGTATGAAAAGTCCGGTGGCTGAGCACGGCAGCAAGACACAGGAAAATTAGTGAAGAACATCAAAATTATTTGCCTTCAAACACCCATTTGGAAGGTAAGCTGTCATCGAAGTATTATCTCAGGTTTACTGGGTAGTTTTAATGGGAAATGGCAGGGTTTTTCAATGGTTTGCTCAGAAAGCGAGCTAAGGCTAGTCGAATTGTTTACATTTCCTGGTTAAACAAAATCTCTTGAAAAGGTCAAATTGGGTCAACTTAAATGGGGTCGCTCGCCTCAGAAATAACTTTTGCGAAGAAAAAAATGATATCACGTTCAAAAACAGCTCTTCTACTTGCTAGAATTGAATTTTGAAAGGATTCTACATAATACCGAGTATGTTTTGAGATGTTTGAAAACGGTATGGAATTTTTGATTTTCAAAGTCTAGAAATTTCGGTTCTCTTCGCTTGCTCTCCAGGAATTCGGAATTACAATTGTAAGTCTAAAATATCATCAAAGCAGCTCAGCAATAACTCCTAAATAAAATTATAAACTAAGGAAAACCATAATTTGCTATGCGCCTTCACGCGAGTTCGATTATCTGATCATGAAATTTGACATCATTTCTGTGATTTTTCGGCTTCACGGATTGTTGACGGTTTTTCGTAATTTTCTCAAAACTCTAGAACCTAAAACTTAAATCAGGATTCTTAGCATACCATAGGTTATTTCTGGACGAAATATCAAGGGGTCCATTTTTCCGACCTTGTGCCACCCCTCACGCGGTGGTTAGGGAGAGTGGCTCTTAAGTGGCATTTAATTGACAAAAATCACTAACAAGTTGTAATTACAATAGCACACTGTTATAATGAAATTATAAATCACTATGACATTTCAACTCAGGAAAAATTAGGTGGGGGCAAATTACGCCAACAGCCACACTCTGTGGCAAACCCTACCAAAGCCGAGCACGTGCACCAAACACAAAAACAAATAGGGAGTAAGACATTAGAAACACCAGGCCAACCTCCGATGTGTTTCCGTTCTGATATAAGAATAATGGTAATCGGCTCTCCGGCCCATGCGTGCCGAGAGCGGATTACTCCTACAGGCATTGAGTAAAACGCAAAAAAATAACCTACGAGAAAAGCCTAAGACAGAACGAAAATTACAAAGTAAAAATAACGCCAGGCCAATCTCTGATGTGTATCCGGTCTGTAGAATAAAAGTAAAATCGTCTCTCCGGCCCATGCCTGCCGAGAGCGATAACTTTGAATGATACAGACCTTAAATATAATTTCTTTGTAAACACGAGGCAGTTCTCCAGCCCATGCCCGTCGAGAACTGATTATATGGTCGTTGTAAACGGGTTACCAGCCCGTGACTGCAATAACTGAAAACAAACCTAATTTGTCCATGCAGTTGGTGATCGTATGTATAACTTGAATGCATCGGATTTCCAACAACCAAGACCCCGAATCTGGGCGTCAGAAATGCCGTTTTCTGCTGCCAGACTAGCTGCACCAATGCGAAAAGAGTGCAATTTGTAACTGGAACAGTCTAAGTCACAAAGAGCAAGGGCTCCTCTGAGCTGCCGCGTAATCAGCTAGGCAAAAAAGTGGACCAGAATTGGATACTCTCATCCAGCACCAGCGTAGTAAAAACTCAACAGGACAGCAGTGTACGGTCAATTCTTGGAAAAAGGACGCCCGGTTGTGTTATTTTTATAATCCGTGTTGACAAGTTTTTTGCCGCCTGTACTTCATTCCGTGATTTTAGAAAAGACACACTGAAACTGGAGAGTGGAATGCCGCCGCTCAGGGGTCTTGATTGTTAGTTCACCCACTCAGAAACTTTTTTCCTTGAGGGTTACACTGCGTTTGTTATAGAATTCCGTTAACAACCCGCAGCAACGTGCAAGCTTATCCTCTGGCAAACAGGGTCGCATGTTAATTGTGTCAAGATTGATCCTAGCAAATTGTAAACAGGTTGCGGGACCGACGGTTTTCTCATCTGTGATAGGCACTCCGACCTCGTTGCACAATTTGATAAAGTTATCTAAATCCCTATGACACTTGTCTCGCGAAGGTGCTAAAAACAAATCATCTAAGATATGCACAACAGTGGAAGCTTGTAATTTGGCCGTGGCAATCCATTTGAGAGCCGTGCTAAATGTCTCAAATATGTTGCACGAAGAAAAACAAAACCATTAGAAAACAACAATCAAAATAGAATTTAACCTTCCATTCTAAACAGAGCAAGTCAAAATGTTGAGGTTGGAGAGGTATTATGCAAAAAGCCGACTTCATGTCAGTTTTTGCAAGGAAACACCCAGCACCTAACGAGCTAATTTTCTTAATCGCGTTATCTGTAGTGTAATGTATAGAAGAGGAATACCTAGGAATGCCGTCATTAACAGAAGAACCTTCCAGAAAAGACAAGTGAGGTATGAGACAGAATTCCCCAGGAGCTTTTTTAGGAACCAGGCCAAGAGGGTAAATTCGAAAATTCTCAAAGGGAGGCCTGTCAAAAGGACCAATTGTTCCTCCTGATGATACCTCCTTAATAAGCTTATCAGTAACTTCCCGTGGGTTTTCAAAAGCACAAAAGCACGTTTGGATCGAAAGGTGAATTTATCCCCAAAGTATCGCATAGAAAAACCAAAATGAAAGCAATTTACAAATAAGTCGCTATGGCCAGATCATACCCTCTAAGGAGCGGTTCCAGCCTGTGCGGCTTTACTGCAGTTGGACTGCAATTTAAGTGAGGCGGATCCTTTTCTGTCCTCTCCACTTGAGGATGCAGGCTGGAGACTGGGCTTGGCATAAAACTGAGTTGCGGGATGCGTGGCACCGCAATTAAAGGTCGTGTGCTTGAATCGACAGCCGGCACAGAATTCGCCAGAGTGGAATTTCTAGCACACACCCTTTGGAAAGGACAGAAATGGCCGGGTTTGGGGTTTTTTATTCCGTGTATTATCCTGTGGAGATTTTGATGTTATGTGAATGGCCTGGTTCCAAAGTTACTACATTAACCTGTCCCAGGGAAATTTTTTGTGGATTTGTTTGCCGCAAATAGCGGAATTGCTGGTCATAATAACGCCAGCTTCCTGACTTATTAGCAATATCTCTGACAACTTCACAATATTTGAGCAAAGTCACAACCTTTAGCGGGTATTTAACTGTATAAACAGCCACAAAGGTGTTAAAGGCCGTCTGCCATTGCCCCAAGGATAAAACTTTAGTTTGGATGGCTCGAGGCAAAGACTTGGCGATTTTCCGTCATGGTTGTTAAAAGAGAAAATAAATTTATCATTGTCAGGAAAAGACGATAGTAGCGCCCCAAAATTAATGTATTCATCGGCCCAGATCTGTGCCTTGAGCTTAGCCGACACCCATGCCTCCAAATCAATTGCTACGCTCGTGAAGTTCACTTCACTAGGTTTGTCATTGGAGTTTGATATTGACATCCTCGCCGACAAAGATGAAATGCTGGCTATCCTCGGCAGCTGTGGCAGTCTTCACTGAGGTTGAGGCATCTACAGACCCAGGGCTCGGGTTAACCATGGGGGTACTTGCTAATGGCCTTGCTTGCCCAACTCCAACAGCTTTCAGGGCCTCTGTCACTGCCAATGTGACCACGCTCGTTAAGTCCACGATGTTCACAGGTTCAGCTGTTTGCTGCGCTGCTGAAACCTCGGCCAGGTCACCCTAGGCACTAGAGGATGGGGTCGCT